GTGTAATATATATATATATATATGAATAAATAATGCGCATGCATGTTTGTAAACATGCTTGTTTATTCACTTACTGGGCCAGTTGGTTACATTTTTGTGTATAGTGTACACATGTATCTATACATTTATGTACATTCAATGCGTGTGCATGTGTATGTTTGATTCTGTAAGTAAGTGCGCTTCGGAAAAGGCCAAGGCCACAGAGTGCATGTACGAGACACCAAAGCCGATAACTGTTGGGGGTCTCGTACCAGTGAACCCATTGAGGCTGGGATGGATCGGAAATTGACAGAACAAGAGGAGCCCAGTGAACCCTAAACCCTAAACCGCGAACAGCGTGGGATACGTGGCAGGAAGGCGTCTTTGTAGTACTCCTCCGCATCGTCCACCTGGGGGCCGCAGTAGAACGCTGGAAAGATGTCGGAGCTCTCAACGTCTAACGCACACAGAAGCTGGGGAACCCTAAGCCCTAAACCCTAAACCCCAAACCCTAAACCCTAAACCCGTACGTCGCGCTCCCCAAGAGTGAGCTAGTGTAGAAGGCTAAGGGATCTGAGGACTTCAGGGCTTCGAGCTGAACGTGAACCATCTCCTGTAAAGTCCCTGCGACTTTTCCAAAAGCAAGACGCACTCCCCCGAGAGTGGTGCATGAAGTTGGGTTCAGGGTTTGGGCTTCACGGCGTTGCTTCTCTGGAACCCAGCTGAAGATGTAGGGCGTCGATGAGGGTTTAGGGTTCAAGGTTCAGGGTTCAGAGTTTAGGATTTAGGGTTTAGGGTTTAGGGTTCAGGGTTTAGGGTTCAGGGTTCAGGGTTCCAGGGCTGTGCCCAGCGGCTGGGTGGTAGCCCAAGGCCGTCTCAGACTCCTCCCAGCTTGGCTCCGGGAGAAGGTTCACAGGGAGATCTCCCGTAGGGTTGAGGGCAGAGGTTTAGGGTTCAGGGATTTTGGTTTTGGGTTTAGGGTTTCGGGTTTAAGATTTAGGGTTTAGGTTTAAGGTGTTTGGCTTTCCCTCCAGAAACCCTGCTCTCCAAGGACCTTGAAATAGGGTATTGGATAGATGGTCAACTATGCGGCCTCTTGATTGGGCGAATTTGTTTGTCGTTTATCCCTGGCCTGCTCTCCGCGGACGCGCTTGCAAGTAGTAGATCTTCCCTAGGGTTTAGGGCTTAGGGCTTAGGGTTTAGGGTTGAGGGTTGAGGGTTGAGGGTTTAGGGTTGAGGGTTTAGGGTTTAAGTTTCGGGTTTAGGGTTTTCCCCTCCAGACTTCAGAGAGAAAGAGAGAGAGATTGGGACCAGCACGGCTATAAATGCAAGCGGGCTGGAGGACGCTAAAAGACCCTCCGATTGGGGGCCCCCCCTTCGAAACCCTACTAGGAGCCCCTTCTTGGGAGATCCTATGAAGCCCCCGGAAGGCCCTGAAAAGCCTGGAAGGAAGTATTTGGGAAGCATGCGCTTGAAGCGCGTTCAGGCCTGAAGGTTTGGGTGGTTACGCCGCCAACGGCGCGTTGTGGGAGAATAGGAGAAGATGGCCCCCTGCAATCAAGCCTCAACATCAAATCGACAAGCACAAGGCACTCGATCGGGCCTTCACCCCGAACCCTAAACCCTCTGAACCCTAAACCCTAAACCCTAAACCCTAGAACCCTAGAAAGCCCTAAACCCTAAACCCCAAACCCCAAACCCTGTCCTCCAGGTCGAAGGTGCGCAGCCCGTTGCGGCTCACCGCGTAGGCAACTAAAAAGCCTGAGGCTCCGAGCTCTGGTATTCATGTCTGGGGGTTTTAGGGTTTAGGGGTTTGGGGTTTTTTGGGCTTAGGGTTTAGGGTTTAGGCTTTAGGTTTAGGGTTCAGGGTTGAGGGGGTTTAGGGGTTTAGGCTTTAGGTTTAGGGTTCAGGGTTGAGGGGGTTTAGGGGTTTAGGCTTTAGGGTTAGGGACTCCTGGCTTAGGGTTCAGGGGTTTAGAATGGTTTCAGGCTCAGGGATGCCGGCCAGCAAAACCTAGAGGAAGGTCCATTTATGGTCTTTCCCCTTATCGTTTAAGGTACCACCGAAAACTTAGAACCCGCAACTCGTCACCCTCTGTTTGCGGGGAGGGCCTAAAAGCTGCGCTCTCGATTCACTCCGGAACCGCGCAGGAATCTGAAACCAAACCAGCCCCGCAACCGATCGGCTTGAATTCGGAACCCTGAATTCAAAAACCGCAACGCGACACCCCAAACCCCAAACCCCAAACCCTAAACCCTAAACCCGCCCACCACCCCTCTCACCTCTGTTGGGGTAGGCGGGCGCAGTCGAGCGCTTAGCGAGACCACAACAGGCTCTGCTAGGCTGCAAAGTCTGGCTTTGGCCCTGGCCCTGCCTGGGCCTGGCCCTGGCCCTGGCCCTGGCCCTGGCCCTGCCACTGGCCCTTGCCCCTGCCCTGGCCCTTGCCCTGGCCCTGGCCCTGGCCCTGACCCTGGCCCTGCTGCGGTTTTGGTGTCCCTCACTGCCCTACCCTACTGCTCTGCTGGCTGCCTGGTCGCTGGCTGGCCTGGCCAGACCACGAATGAAAGCAAACTCAAAAAGCAAAGCCCTGCAAATTTTTCTATGAGATGGCCCTTGGGCGCAGACCGTCCCCTGCGCAAGATCTCGCGACACCCGTTCCCGAATTTATCGATAACTAGACCAGCTCACGCCCTGAAATTTTTTATGATAGGGCCCTTCGGCCCAGACCGTCCCCTGCGCAAAATCACGATTCCGGTCCTTCACCTGTAAAAAACGTTCTCGGCTCCTTTTGCAAGGGAGTTGCCTTTCAAGCGACCTTGGCACTCCTCAACAATCGGAAACCTTTCACGGCCCGGAATTTCATGAGAGGGCCTTTCGGTTCAGACCGTCCCCTACGCAACAGCCTGAGGGGGGGTTCCCGAATTTATCGAAAACTAGACCAGCTCACACCCTGAAATTTTCTATGATAGGGCCCTTCGGCCCAGACCGTCCCCTGCGCAAAACCTCACGACCCCGGTCCTTCACCTGTAAAAAACGTTCTCGGCTCCTTTTGCAAGGGAGTTGCCTTTCAAGCGACCTTGGCACTCCTCAACAATCGGAAACCTTTCACGGCCCGGAATTTCATGAGAGGGCCTTTCGGTTCAGACCGTCCCCTACGCAACAGCCTGAGGGGGGGGGGTATCCTCTGCCGCCATGACTGCGGCATCAGATAAACATGTGTCACGTGTGAATTTTGAATGGCTTCGGCTTGGTTTGGGCTGGCTCCGGTTTGGTTCGCAGTGAGTAGTGTTTGGGTGGTCTTGGGGTGGGCATGTCTGCACACAACTGCGTCCAGCTGACCACTGCTACACCCTAAAGGAGGACTTGGAGGGTGCGCCCAGGCCTCCATGCTGCGCCAGGTCACAGTTGAGGGCGCCCTGGAGGAAGCCTCCATGTTTAGGATTTAGGATTTGTTTCAGGGGTCTAGGGTTTAGGGTTTAGGGTTTAGGGTTTAGGGTTTAGGGTTTAGGGTTTAGGGTTTCGGGTTTAGGGTTTGGGTTTAGGGTTTAGGGTTTAGGGTTTAGGGTTTAGGGTTTAGGGTTTAGGGTTTAGGGTTTAGGGTTTAGGGTTTAGGGTTTAGGGTTTAGGGTTTAGGGTTTAGGGTTTAGGGTTTAGGGTTTAGGGTTTAGGGGGTTTAGGGTTTAGGGTTTAGGGTTTAGGGTTTAGGGTTTAGGGTTTAGGGTTTAGGGTTTAGGGTTTAGGGTTTAGGGTTTAGGGTTTAGGGTTTAGGGTTTAGGGTTTAGGGTTTAGGGTTTAGGGTTTAGGGTTTAGGGTTAGGTTTAGGGTTTAGGGTTTAGGGTTTAGGGTTTAGGGTTTAGGGTTTAGGGTTTAGGGTTTAGGGTTTAGGGTTTAGGGTTTAGGGTTTAGGGTTTAGGGTTTAGGGTTTAGGGTTTAGGGTCGTTTCGGCAGGACTCGGCACGTTGGACGTTGGACGTTGGATGCTGTGGGAATAAGAGCACTGGAAGTTGCTGGATTTTGCAAGATGGTAGTTGGGTTTAGGGTGGGGTTTACGCCTCATCCGGGTGAGACCATGCCCGTCTCTTCGCTATTCAAATACACTTTTATCTTTCTCAAGGGACTAAAGGAGGGACCCTTATAAGGGACCTTAGGGGTATTGTTTGAACCTTTAGGTATATAGGGACTTTAAGGTACATGGAGGGGTTATATAGGAGAATAAGATTCAGGGTCCCTTCTAGCGGTCTCTCCTTATCGACTACAGCCCGCATAGCTATCAAGGACGTCTGCCCTCGACAGCCCGGGGCGGACTAGATGCAAGCAATCCCGCAAACTCTAAGCCCGAAACGCAAAGCGCAATTTTGCGGGCTCCCCAAGCCCCAAAACCCTAAACACCCCAACCCTGAACCCCAAACCTCCCTAAACACTAAACCCTAAACCCTAAACCCTGCGTCCTTGAAAGTCGCGCTTGGAGAGGAACATCGCACGCAAGTACGCCTTGCCAGTGCGAAGGCAAAAGAGCCAATGCAAGGACAGCTCTTAAAGGTTCAGAGTTTTGGATTTAGGGTTTTGGAGGTTTAGGGTTTAGGGCTTAGGGTTTAGGGCTTCGGGTTTAGGGCGTAGGGCCAAGTGATCATCCTTTTGAGAAGCAGAGGAGTCTGCTTAGAATATGAGATACCGTGCAATAGGGCTGCCTGAGAGGTTCCTATAAGAAGAGCTAGTCTCACCAGGGGTAACCCCCATTTGAGGAAATGCACGTCACGTTTGAAGCTGCTGTGCCCAGCATGGCAGGAGCGATTCCTGGCCATTTGGCTACCAGGCTTGTCTGTGGGCGGGTCTGTTGCTTGCGCACAAATGGCGGCGGCCATCGACTTTTTTCACTGCTGCGGATGGCCCTGTACACCCCTAGATCGCCTAGATCGAATTGAATTGGCAGCCTAAGTAGCGCATTCCGTGCAGAAAAGTATGCCGCGCGGTATCGAGTGTGTGTTTTCTGGGGTCCCCAGCCGAAGCTTCACTGCAGAACTCAAACTAGCTCAATCGAGCTGGCATCTGTCTTCTCTTCTGCCTTCCTGATCGCGAAAACGCCGCCGAGAGGAACGTGGTCGCTGATGTGCCAGTCAGCAGGGATCGCCCGAGCTCTGGCCGCTTCCTCCTGTGCCTCATCAAGGGGAAGCCGCACTGCAGTTGGACGCAGGGAGAGGTGGGAGTAGAAGACGAAGTCCACGCATGCTGCCAAGGGTGCTCCACCAGCATCATTCGGGCTGCAAAACGTCACAGGCCTCTGCTTCAGCAAGCTGCCACAAACCTCGCCATAGAGGTCTCGGAGTGCCCATTCGTGGGAGAAGTCTGCCTTAAGGAGCTCCTTGTCAGGGGCCCACGGGTCACGGAAGTCTTTGGAGAGCGCCCCAGACGAGAGGAGGTGGCACACTGCCGAGTCTTCTTCACAGTTGAAGTCCCCTGCGAAGATCAGCGGACACTCCTTGGGATCGAGATTTCGTCGGAGCTGATCCAAGCGCAAGCGCTCCAGTGCACTCTTGACTTGGCTAACGCGGGCGGCCGCCTCTGGCTTTGCTCCCTCTAAGTGGCAACTGACAACATAGATCAGCTCATCTGTGGGTACATGCTTCAAAGCAGCTAAGACCGCTCGAGATCTGTTCTCACTCCACACCAGCTCGAAGCGGCTGGATTTGAAGAAGATCGCACTCTTGGCCATTTCTGGCCGCTTCTTCCCTTTTGAGTCGTCCCTTGGCTCCACTGCTGCATAGCCCCCCTCTGCGAGAAAAGCAAACTCCTCTGCGAAGGACGCGACCTCTACCTCTTGCATGCAATATATGTCGGCGTCCATGCCGAACAGCAACTCGCGCAGCTGCGGTTTCCTGTAGCTCCAGGCGCGAAGCTCCGGTCCAATACTGGGATAGTACCACTTTTCGTCGAAGCCTTTCAGGAGCATGTTGAAACAAACTACGCTGACCTCGCATTCGGGGCGCCGAAGGGGCACCGAGCGACGCATTGACTGGGCCATTGCCTCAGCCTCGGGTGTCAGGCGCACACCACAAGCAGGGAGGCTGCTGCTGAAGCCCTCCCCGCCGCGGCCGCCGTTGCAGTCATCTGCCACAGTGGCGCCGGTGTCCTTGTCCTGCTTGGAAGTTGGAGAGGAGGGCTGCACTTCACACTTATCGCTTGGCTCGACGACCGGCAGCCCATGATCTTGAACGTTTGCGATGTCCAATGACTCCTCCATGGCTTGGCCAAGAAACGAGGGTCAGATACGAAGTAGGGCTGCGATTGCTAGTACCCCAAAAAGACACAAAATATACCGTACATGCACTCACTGTCAACAGTATATAGTGTAAACCCTGTTTGACATGACTGAGGATCTGCGATGGTCCAGCGCGGCTCGTGCATCTCGATGCTTAGACATTTCGGGAACCTAAAACGCAAGTTCAGACGAAGCTACAACCCAACTATAAGCGCTGCATGGCCCTGCACCCCCAAGCAGTCTTACAGGTAACCCTGACTCTTAAACCCCTACACCCCAAACCCTACACCCTAAACAGACGTCTAAGCTTCTTAACAGAGGCTTTACACCCCACGAGTAGCAAGCCGCGAACCCTGAATCCCGACAGCCCTAAGCTTCTTTCCCAGTCGCACATAGGGCTTAGGGCTTAGGGCTTAGCTAGGGCTTAGGGCTTAGGGCTTAGGGCTTAGGGCTTAGGGCTTAGGGCTTAGGGCTTAGGGCTTAGGGCTTAGGGCTTAGGGCTTAGGGCTTAGGGCTTAGGGCTTAGGGCTTAGGGGGCTTAGGGCTTAGGGCTTAGGGCTTAGGTTTAGGGCTTAGGGCTTAGGGCTTAGGGCTTAGGGCTTAGGGCTTAGGGCTTAGGGCTTAGGGCTTAGGGCTTAGGGCTTAGGGCTTAGGGCTTAGGGCTTAGGGCTTAGGGCTTAGGGTTTAGGGTTTGAGCCTCTACCGCGACCATAGCAAACTCCTACTGGCCGCTAGGGTACCAAACGGAGTCCACAATGCGAAGAGACTGTGTTTCTAGGATGGCCCGTATAAAACCCTCTGAAAAATATTCCTGATATGATCCTCTTAAATCCAGGAAGGGAAAATACAAAAGGGCCCAAGGGCCTACCGAGGTTTCAAGACTTTCGGGAGTATCCCAAGGTCGGCCTCACAGTCGTTTCCCGCAAGGTCGGTGGGACGGTCGTAGAGGCACCAGCCTGATGAGAGGTGCACGAGCTTGAGGAATTGTGAGGGAAGCTTAGGGCTTGTTGGGTTGAGGGTTTAGGCTTTAGGGCTTGGGGCTTGGCTTAGGGCTTAGGGTTGGGGCTTAGGGCTTTGGGCTTGGGGCTTAGGGCTTAGGGCTTGCGAGGAGGTTTCTGGACACTTCGAGCCCAATCGTACACGCGGTCAGCCCTCAAGCTTGGTACTGTGGTTATAAATCGTAGATCGGCCCTAAACCCTACACGCTAAGTCGCATTACGGTTCCAGCCAGGTTACAAGCTCACAGCTGCGCATGGCAGGCTCCCTGAACGAGTGTATCCTGTTTCGGGCTTAGGGTTTAGGGTTCTGGTAGTTTTATACTGAACTTGGAACCCTAGCAAAAATTAACACTTGTAGGAATTTTAGTGCTCAGAAATCAAGAATAATTCCCAAGTGTCCCGAAGTAGTTCGGGTTTTTACCCACACCAGGATACCACAATTCAGCACACAATTCCGCATTCGTCAAATCTGCAATGCCAGCAGGACGAACCTCTCCAAACCGCAAACTTATATTCCAGAAGTCAGCGGATCTAAGGTGCTGCAAATTTGGAGCCTGCGGCGAGGGAAGTCAAGCTACTTTGACACGACCCCTCACCACGGGTTCCTAAAAAGTGCCCCTGAAGCGCGCCTATCCGCAACGCCAGGAACTCGAAGGATTTGTGAACCTTGGCGGTCCGCGAACTCTCGGAAAGCTTCTTTGAAGGTATCGTAAAAGGTTTGCAAGGGCCACCACGAAACGTACCAGGATTTACCAGGGCTCCTTATAAAGATCCCTAGAAAGGCCTGAAAGGGAATGACCGGGGATCAAGGCTTAGGCCTGTCAGCACCATCCTTAGACATAAAGCGCCCATGGGTTAAACAGCACAATCTCCTAAGAAAAAGGAAACCCCAAACCCTAAACCCTAAACCCTAAACCCTAATCCCTAAACCCTAAACCCTAAACCCTAATCCCTAATCCCTAATCCCTCCCCCACCCCTCCACATCCTAAACTTCCAAGCTCGGCGCCGAACGCGAGCGTAGAGATACCCCATGGCCTTTCCAAGTCCCAGGGCTTTGGGTTTATACTCCCCCTTATACTAGGGGCCCTTAACGAGATGACAATAAGGGGTACTATAGTCCCTATAAGGCAGAACATTCCCAAGGCTTAGGTTTTCGACTTTAACCTAGGGTGCAGGGGCCTCCTCTCGGCTCCAGAGGCATGGTTGAAGGGGCCAAATCCCCAAAAACAGAGACCCCATGATTCGGAAACCTCCCATAGAGGGTAACCCTAAACCCTAAACCCTAAACCCTAAACCCTAATACCTAAACCCTAAACCCTAAACCCTAACCCCCCTTAAACGTAGGGCCTTACCTTCAACCCCATAGCCAGCAAGCCGATCGCTTAAGCTGTCGGAGACATGGTGACCGCTCCCGCTGTGAAACTGATCTGCGGTTCATAGGGCTTATAGGGTTTAGGGTTTACGGCTTAGGGGTTCACAGTTCTTTTAGGGTTTGTAGGGCTTACGGGGCTGAAAGAGTGAAAAGGTCTCTGGGGCTTGCACGGCTTAGAAGGTTTGTAGACTCGGGGTTTACAACTCGCAGAGGATCTTGACATTCTAGCTCTCTTGAGACGGACATCTTGCCTCAGGATTGGGGGGGAGGGGAGGGAGGGAGACCACCCTAAAACCGGAAGCCCTAAACCCTAAAGCCTGAGTGGGTTTAGGGTATGTCTACCCTAAACCCCGAACCCCAAACCCTGAAGCCCTAAACCCTAAAACGCGCGACGACGCGCCTCGCCACAAATCTTGGAGACCGCGTAAAAGGAGTCGGGACCAGCCCTGGCCAGCCTGCTTTCGGGCTTTAGGCTTTCGGGCTTCAGGCTTCAGGCTTTAGGGTTTAGGGTTTAGGGTTTAGGGTTTATGGGGTTTAGGGCGATCGTGGGGTTTTGGCGCCTGGGGTTGGGTTTAAAGGTTTAGGGTCTACTAGGGTTTAGGGTCTACTAGGGTTTAGGGTCTACTTGGGTTTCGGGTTTAAGTTTTAGGATCTAGGGTTTGGGGTTTAGGGCTTGGAGTTCGGGGTTTAGGGTTTAGGGTTTAGGGTTTAGGATTTAGGACTTAGGGTTCCCTCTCTTTGCATTGGAGGTGACGTAAACAGTCGACAATTCTTGCGCAGCCTCAGGGAAATCTCAAAGGCGACCTCGGCCCAAGGGCACAGCCCCCTTTGAACAAGTCGGAAGCCTATACCTAAAAGCCCTCAAGACCCCCATTAAGCAAACAAACAAAGGCCGGACTTCAAACACCCTAGACCCGCATATCTCAACCCAGCGATCTGAAACCTGAACTCTGCGCACCGACATGAAGCGCAAGCTCTGTGCTTACAAAGCGACTGGCAGTGGGTGCAGCGGGGGGGCGGGGGTGGGGGGGGGTGGTTTAGGGTTTGAGGTTGAGGACTGAGGGTGAAGGTTGATTCTTTGGGCTGTGCAGGGTTCCATTGCCCTACGTAGCTCAGCTTCCACTGAACGACTTCGTGGACGAAAGCTAAGCATAGCGGGCAATGAGGTGCTAAGCTGCCAGAAGCCCTAAAACCCTAAAACCCTTAAACCCTAAACCCTAAGCAACCAAACCGTCCCTTGACCTTCAATCGTCCTACAGCCGTGGTAGGCCGAGCCCCGAGCGGGTCGGAAACCTTCAACGCAGCCGGGCCTGCAACATCGTCCCCCGGTCGCGGCTTAGGGTTTGGGATTTCGGGTTGGGATGTTCCCCCTTATACTAACAGTCGTTATATAGGGATTGTAGTACTTGCGGACCTCCTCAATCAAAGCTCCATCGTCAAACTGCAAGGTGCAGAGTTGACGGTCGACAGGAGCTTGGAGATTGGGAGCTTTCGTGCCTTTGGGTGCCTCAAAACCTACTCGCTACACCTTTGCGCGATTTCGGGTGCGGAGGTGTTCAAGCTGTCGGGGCTTCACAGAGGTAGGGGCGTTGACATGTTCGGGGCCGTGAGGGCGCAGGGCTGAACAAACCCTGAATCCCGAATATCCTCAAACACTACACCCTTAAAACCCTGAAATCCTACAACCTGAACCCCAAACCCTGACATCCTAAACCCCTAAACCCTAAACCCTAAACCCTAAGCCCTAAGCCCTAAACCCTAAACCCTAAACCCTAAACCCTAAACCCTAAACAACCATGACTCCGTGCCTCCGAGGCCCTGGAGGCGGCTCCAGTCCATGCTTCCAGCGTGGCTGCCTCCCAAGCAGGGTTTTGGGTTTAGGATTTAGGGTTTAGGATTTAGGATTTAGGGTTCAGGGTTTAGAGTTTAGGTTTTAAAATTTTAGGGTTCAGGGTTAAGGGCCTTTGAGGGGCTGGGGTGAAGGTGTTTAGGGGCTTGGAGGGATAGGGGTTGCCCAGCGGGCAGCCTAAGACAAGATGTTTTAGGGTTTTGGGCTGAAGCTGGCAAGGCCTTTGACCAGGGCAATAGCTGTGGTGCTCCTAGAGAGCTGCATTCAGGATTCCGGCCAGCCATTGCGAACATGAGAGAACCTGAATCTGATTCGATGCGAGGCGCATGTCTAGAGTTTAGGGGGTGAGCAGATGCAGCGTGCCATCTCCGCTGCAAGATCGTGTGTTGGCAGGAAAGCTTCGCGACGGTCCCATGAGCTAAGACACACCTTGCCCCCTGCTCAAGAAAGGTCAGGACATGTTGGACAGCAAGCCGCTGAGTCATTCCAAGAACGTCGCCTGACGAATTCCATATGATCTATGCTGAAGGGTCTGAAGGAAAAACAGCCCAATGGCTCACGGCTAACGCACCCCACATGTGAATGTGTGTGTGTGTGCGCGTGCGAAGCAAGGGTGGTGTATACACTGTGCCGTTATATATAGTGGCTAAACATTGTGGTTTCTCGGCACGTGCCCTTTTCTGAGAGGGAAAGGACACTTCAAGTCCTTGGGTGTGTTAGACTTTGGTTATGTAAAGTTGCTGTCGGTATGCTGCGTTAGGA